GGGATCCCAGTGGTGGATCCCAGGGTGGATCCCAGGGTTGGATCCCAGGGTCAGATGCCAGAGTGTATCCAAGGGTGGATCCCAGGGGTGGATCCTGGGGGTGGATCCCAAGAAAAAGATCCCAGGGGTGGATCCCAAGGTACAGATCCCAAGGCACAGATCCCAGGGGTAGATCCCAGGGTGGATCCCGGGGATGGGTGGCTGGGGTGCCTCACCCTCAACGGAGATGTCCTGGATGGCGAAGCGCAGGATGATCGTCCAGATCATGCCCAGGGTCATCTTGGCGTTCCCGTCCACGATCTCTGCAAGGGAACACCGGGAATGACCCGGAATTCCGGGGGGAGGGGGGGAAAAAGGGGATTCCCGGGGCACAGACGGACCAAGGGGGGGCTGGAATGGGGAATCCAAGGATTGGGAGGGTCTGGGATTGGGGAATCCTGGAACTGGGGGAATCCTGGGATTGGGGGCTTGGAATTGGGGGCTTGGAACTGGGGGAATCCAAGGATTGGGGGACCCTGAATTGAGGGAATCCTGGGATTGGGGAATCCTGGAATTGGGGAATCCTGGAATTGGGGGGTCCTGGAACTGGGGGGGCCTGGAATGGGGGAATCCAAGGATTGGGGGATCCTGGAATTGGGGGATCCTGGAATTGGGGGGATCCAAGGATTGTGGAAACCTGGAATTGGGGAATCCAAGGGATTGAAAAATCCTAGAATTGGGGGGGCCTGGGATTGGGGAATCCTGGAATTGGGGAATCCTGGAACTGGGGCAATCCAAGGATTGTGGAAACCTGGAATTGGGGGGGCCTGGAATTGGTGGAATCCAAGGATTGTGGAAACCTGGAATTGGGGAATCCAAGGGATTGAAAAATCCTGGAATTGGGGAATCCTGGAACTGGGGCAATCCAAGGATTGTGGAAACCTGGAATTGGGGAATCCAAGGGATTGAAAAATCCTGGAATTGGGGAATACTGGAACTGGGGGGGGTCCTGGAATTGGGGGAATCCAAGGGATTGGGGAATCCTGGAATTGGGGGCTGGAATTGGGGAATCCTGGAATTGGGGGCACCCTGGAATGGGGGAATCAAAGGATTGGGAATCCCAAAATTATGGGATCCTGGAATTCCAGGATCCTGGAGCTCTGGGATCCTGGAATTCTGGGACCCTGGAATTCCGGGATCCTGGAGCTCTGGGATCCTCCTGCAGTGCTGGAACTGTGGGATCCCGACCCCAGGGAATCCTGGACCCACAGGATCCAGGGAACCGTGGGAATCCCGGGATCCTGGAATTCCTGAGCTTGGAAAACACCTCAAGGAGCAGCCCAGGAGGGGAAAGGGAGGAATCCCAGGAATTCCAGGAATTCCAGGCTCCCCCAGCCCGGCCCAGCCCAGCCCAGGATTTCTGGGAATGGCTGGGGCGGGGCAGGCCGGGACACGCTCGGGAATGGGGAGTTTTCCCTCGGGACTCGAGGAGTTCTCCTCAGGAATGGGAGTTTTCCCTGGGAATGGGGAGTTTTCCCAGGATTGGGGAGTTTTCCTCAGGATTGGGGAGTTTTCCCTGGGGAATGGGGAGTTTTCCCTCGGGATTGGGGAGTTTTCCCTCAGGATTGGGGAGTTTTCCCTCGGGAATGGGGAGTTTTCCCTCGGGATTGGGGAGTTTTCCCTCGGGATTGGGGAGTTTTCCCTCAGGATTGGGGAGTTTTCCCTCGGGATTGGGGAGTTTTCCCTCGGGATTGGGGAGTTCTCCCTGGGGAATGGGGAGTTTTCCCTCAGGATTGGGGAGTTTTCCCTCGGGAATGGGGAGTTTTCCCTCGGGATTGGGGAGTTTTCCCTCGGGATTGAGGAGTTTTCCCGAGCTTTTCCAGCCCCTCCCAACAAAACCGGCCTGGCTGGAGCGGAGCCCCCGGGGGGATCCCCAGGGAAGGGGCCCCAATCCCGGGAATCTCCCCCCTCCCAGCTGGGAATGGGCTTTGGATCCCGCTCTTCCCCCTCCTCCAGGAGCTTCTTCCCTATTCCATTTTTTTCCCCCCTTATCCAGCTTTTTTTCTCCTTTTCCATATTTTTCCCCCTTCTCCAGCTGTTTTTTCTCTTCTCCAGGTGTTTTTTCCCTTCCTCCATCTTTTTTCCCTTTCTCCAGGTGTTTTTTCCCTCATCCCACATTTCTCTCCCCTTCTCCAGGTGTTTTTTTCCTTATCCTGCCTTTCTTCCCTTTCTCCAGGTTTTTTTTCCCCTTCTCCAGGTATTTCTCTCTCTCATCCCATCTTTCTTTCCTCTCCTCCAGAAGCTTCTTGCCTATTCCATTTTTTCCCCCTTCTCCAGGTGTTTTCTTTCCTCTTCCATGTTTTTTTTCCCCTTCTCCAGGTGTTTTTTTTCCTCTTCCATGTTTTTTTCCCCTTCTCCAGGTGTTTTTTCCCCACCCCAGCTCCCTCCACATTCCCCAACCCCCCCTACTCTTTTATCCCAATCCCCTCAATCCGCAGGGAATGGCCCCGATCCCGGGGATGGCTCCAAGCTGGGAATTCCGCCCGGCATTCCCGGGATATCCCCAGCAGGTCCCGGGAATCGCCCTCAGGACACCCCAAACCCAGAGTTTTGACCCCAAACCGGCCAGTTCTGGGATCCAGAGGAATTCCAGGGAATCCTGGGTGAATCCCAGGGGGATCCAGAGTGAATCCCAGGGGATCCTGGGTGAATCCCAGGGAATCCCAGGTGAATTCCAGGGAATCCTGGCTGAATCCCAGGGGGATCCCAGGGAATCCCAGGGAATCCTGGCTGAATCCTGGGTGAATTCCAGGGGGATCCTGGGTGAATCCTGGGTGAATCCCAGGGAATCCCAGGTGAATTCCAGGGGGATCCTGGGGAATCCCAGGGAATCCCAGGTGGAATTCCAGGTGAATTCCAGGGGATCCTGGGTGAATTCTGGGTGAATCCCAGGGGGATCCTGGGTGAATTCCAGGGGATCCTGGGTGAATCCTGGGTGAATCCCAGGGAATCCCAGGTGAATCCCAGGGAATCCCAGGTGAATCCCAGGGAATCCTGGGTGAATCCCAGGGATCCTGGGTGAATCCTAGGGGGATCCTGGGTGAATTCCAGGTGAATCCCGAGGGAATCCCGAGGGAATCCCGAGGGGGAAGGGCAGGGCTCACCCTCGGCGCCGATGGAGACGAGTTTGACGCCCTTGCTGGCGATGAAATCCAGGGCTTTGTTGACGTTGTTGATTTTGTGAACCCTCATCTTGCCCCGCTCCGGCTTCGGCAGCCGCTCCCCTGGGGGGGGGAGGGGAAGAGTTAGAGGTTTGGGGTCAAATTAAAGGGTTTGGGGCAAAAATTAAAGATTTGGGGCAGAGTTAAAGATTTGGGGCAGAGTTAAAGGGTTTGGGGCAAAAATTAAAGATTTGGGGCAGAGTTAAAGGGATTGGGGTCAAAGTTAAAGGGTTGGGGTCAAACTAAAGGATTTGGGGCAAAAATTAAAGATTTTGGGCAAAGTTAAAGGGTTTGGGGCAGAGTTAAAGATTTGGGGCAAAGTTAAAGGGATTGGGGCAGAGTTAAAGGTTTGGGGTAAATCTGAAGGGTTTGGGGCAAATTTGAAGGGTTTGGGGCAAAGTTAAAGATTTTGGGCAAAGTTAAAGAATTGGAGTAAAATTAAAGGGTTTGGGGCAAATCTGAAGGATTTGGGGTAAAGTTAAAGGGTTGGGGCAAATCTGAAGAGTTTGGGGCAAAGTTAAAGAGTTTGTGGGCAAAGTTAAAAGGATTGGGGCAGAGTTAAAGATTTTGGGGCAAATCTGAAGGTTTTGGGGCAAAGTTAAAGGTTTGGGGCAAATCTGAAGGGTTTGGGGTAAATCTGAAGGGTTTGGGGCAAAAATTAAAGATTTTGGGCAAAGTTAAAGGGATTGGGGTAAATCTGAAGGGTTTGGGGCAAAGTTAAAGGTTTGGGGTCAAATTAAAGGGTTTGGGGCAAATCTGAAGGGTTTGGGGCAGAGTTAAAGATTTTGAGCAAAGTTAAAGGGTTTGGGGCAGAGTTAAAAGTTTGGGGTCACGGTTAAAGAGTTTGAGTAAAGATTAAAGGTTTTGGGTCAAAATTCAAAGTTTTGGGTCAAGCCTAAAGATTTTTGGGTGGGTTTGGAGAGCTTTGGGTGGGTTTGGAGGTTTTTGTGTTGGTTTCAAGGTTTTTGGGTTGGTTTGAAGGTTTTGTGCTGCTTTGAAGGTTTTTGTGTGGGTTTCAAGGTTGTTGTGTTGGTTTGGAGGTTTTTGGGGTGGGTTTGAAGGTTTTTGGGCGGGTCTGGAGGGGTTTTGGGGATGTTTGAAGGGTTTGGGGTTTGTTTGCAGGGATTTTTGGGTGGGTTTGGAGGTTTTTGGGCAGGTCTGGAGGGGTTTTGGGGATGTTTGGAGGGGTTTGGGTTTATTTGGAGGGTTTTTTGGGTGGGTTTGAAGGGTTTTTGGGTGGGTTTGCAGGGTTTTTGGGCGGGTCTGGAGGGGTTTTTGGGTGGGTTTGGAAGGTTTTGGGGGATGTTTGGGTTTATTTGGAGGTTTTTGGGTGGGTTTGAAGGGTTTTTGGGTGGGTCTGGAGGGTTTTTGGGGTGGGTTTGAAGGTTTTTGGGTTGGTTTGGAGGTTTTTTGGGTGGGTCTGGAGGGTTTTTGGGGATGTTTGGAGGGTTTTGGGTTTATTTGGAGGGTTTTTGGGGTGGGTTTGAAGGTTTTTGGGTGGATCTGGAGGGATTTTTGGGTTGGTTTGAAGGTTTTTGGGTGGGTTTGGAGGTTTTTGGGTTGGTTGAAAGGTTTTAGGTGGGTTTGGAGGTTTTTGGGTACTTGGAGGTTTTGGGTGGGTTATAGGGTTTTGGCGGGTCTGGAGGGGTTTTGGGGCCCACCTGAGATGACCTCGAGCAGCAGCATCAGCTTGAGGCCGTCCCGGAAATCCTCGTCGATGTTCTCGATCTGCGTCCCGGCTTTCCGAAGGTGGGAATTGCACCAGGCCGTGAACGTCTGAGGGACAGGAAAACTGGGATTGGGAATTCCCTTCATCCCACTGGGAATGATCCCTTCATCCCACTGGGAATTGCACCAGGCCGTGAACGTCTGAGGGACAGGGAGACCGGGATTGGGGGAGCTCTTCCCACTGGGAATGATCCCTTCATCCCACTGGGAATGACCCCTTCATCCCACTGGGAATTGCACCAGGCCGTGAACGTCTGAGGGACAGGAAAACCGGGATTGGGAATTCCCTTCATCCCACTGGGAATGATCCCTTCATCCCACTGGGAATGGCCCCTTCATCCCACTGGGAATTGCACCAGGCCGTGAACGTCTGAGGGACAGGGAAACTGGGATTGGGAATTCCCTTCATCCCACTGGGAATGACCCCACTGATCCCACTGGGAATGACCCCACTGATCCCACTGGGAATTGCACCAGGCTGTGAACGTCTGAGGGACAGGGAAACCGGGATTGGGGGCTCATCCCAATGGGAATGATCCCACTGATCCCACTGGGAATGACCCCACTGATCCCACTGGGAATGATCCCTTAATCCCACTGGGAATGATCCCTTAATCCCACTGGGAATGACCCCTTGATCCCACTGGGAATTGCACCAGGCCGTGAACGTCTGAGGGACAGGAAACTGGGATTGGGGGCTCATCCCAATGGGAATGATCCCTTAATCCCATTGGGAATGATCCCTTAATCCCACTGGGAATCATCCCACTGATCCCACTGGGAATTGCACCAGGCCGTGAACGTCTGAGGGACAGGGAGACCGGGATTGGGGGCTCTTCCCACTGGGAATGATCCCACTGATTCATTGGGAATGAGCCCTTCATCCCACTGGGAATTGCACCAGGCCGTGAACGTCTGAGGGACAGGAAAACTGGGATCAGGGGGGGCTCTTCCCATTGGGAATGATCCCTTCATCCCACTGGGAATGATCCCTTAATCCCACTGGGAATGACCCCACTGATCCCACTGGGAATTGCACCAGGCCGTGGGAATGACGCCTTGAGGGACTAGGAATGACCCTTGATCCCACTGGGAATGAGCCCTTAATCCCACTGGGAATGACCCCTTCATCCCACTGGGAATGACCCCTTCATCCCATTGGGAATTGCACCAGGCCGTGAACGTCTGAGGGACAGGGAGACCGGGATTGGGGGCTCATCCCAATGGGAATGAGCCCATTGATCCCACTGGGAATTGCACCAGGCCGTGAACGTCTGAGGGACAGGGAAACTGGGATTGGGAATTCCCTTCATCCCATTGGGAATGACCCCTTCATCCCACTGGGAATGGCCCCTTAATCCCACTGGGAATGAGCCCATTGATCCCACTGGGAATGATCCCTTCATCCCACTGGGAATTGCACCAGGCCGTGAACGTCTGAGGGACAGGAAAACTGGGATTGGGGGCTCTTCCCAATGGGAATGATCCCTTAATCCCACTGGGAATGGCCCCTTCATCCCACTGGGAATTGCACCAGGCCGTGAACGTCTGAGGGACAGGGAGACTGGGATTGGGAATTCCCTTCATCCCACTGGGAATGATCCCTTCATCCCACTGGGAATGATCCCACTGATCCCAACGGGAATGATCCCTTCATCCCACTGGGAATGGCCCCACTGATCCTACTGGGAATGGCCCCTTAATCCCACTGGGAATTGCACCAGGCCGTGAACGTCTGAGGGACAGGAAAACTGGGATCAGGGGGCTCTTCCCATTGGGAATGAGCCCTTAATCCCACTGGGAATGACCCCTTCATCCCATTGGGAATGGTCCCTTCATCCCACTGGGAATGACCCCTTCATCCCACTGGGAATTGCACCAGGCCGTGAACGTCTGAGGGACAGGGAAACCTGGGATTGGGGGCTCATCCCAATGGGAATGATCCCTTCATCCCATTGGGAATGACCCCGCTGATCCCATTGGGATTGAGCCCATTGATCCCACTGGGAATGACCCCTTAATCCCACTGGGAATTGCACCAGGCCGTGAACGTCTGAGGGACAGGACATGGGATTGGGAATTCCCTTCATCCCACTGGGAATGGTCCCTTAATCCCATTGGGAATGAGCCCATTGATCCCATTGGGAATGATCCCTTCATCCCACTGGGAATTGCACCAGGCCGTGAACGTCTGAGGGACAGGAAACCGGGATCAGGGGGGCTCTTCCCATTGGGAATGATCCCTTCATCCCACTGGGAATGATCCCTGGATCCCACTGGGAATGGCCCCTTGATCCCATTGGGAATGACCCCTTAATCCCATTGGGAATGAGCCCCTGGGATCCTGTGGGAAAGCCCCTTTTCCAACCCCCCCAGCTTTTCCCAGCACTTCCAGGGCCCTTTCCAAGTCCTTTCCAAGCCCTTTCCAGACCCTTTCCAGGCCCTTTCCTGGACCTTTCCAGACCCTTTCCATTCCCTTTCCAAGCCCTTTCCAAGCCCTTTCCTGACCCTTTCCTAACCCTTTCCAGACCCTTTCCAATCCCTTTCCAAGCCCTTTCCAGACCCTTTCCATTCCCTTTCCAATCCCTTTCCATTCCCTTTCCAATCCCTTTCCAAGCCCTTTCCAGGCCCTTTCCAATCCCTTTCCAGACCCTTTCCAAGCCCTTTCCAATCCCTTTCCAGGCCCTTTCCAGGCCCTTTCCAGACCCTTTCCAAGCCCTTTCCAATCCCTTTCCAGGCCCTTTCCAGGCCCTTTCCAGACCCTTTCCATTCCCTTTCCAATCCCTTTCCATTCCCTTTCCAAGCCCCTTCCAGACCCTTTCCAGGTCCTTCCCAGGCCCTTTCCAGACCCTTTCCAAGCCCTTTCCAAGCCCTTTCCAGGCCCTTCCCAGGCCCTTTCCAAGCCCTTTCCAGACCCTTTCCAAGCCCTTTCCAAGCCCTTTCCAGGTCCTTTCCAGGTCCTTTCCAGACCCTTTCCCAGACCCTTTCCAAGCTCTTTCCAGACCCTTTCCAAGCCCTTTCCATTCCTTTTCCATTCTCTTTCCAATCCCTTTCCAAGCCCTTTCCAAGCCCTTTTCAAACTCTTTCCAAGCCCTTTCCTGTCCCTTTCCAGACCCTTTCCAAGCCCTTTCCAAGCCCTTTCCAGGCCCTTTCCAAGCCCTTTCCAAGCCCTTTCCAAGCCCTTTCCTGGCCTTTTCCAGACTCTTTCCTGTCCTTTCCCGTCCCTTTCCCGGGTGGGTCCCGCAGGTGACTCCGAGGGCGTTTCCCGGGACTTTGAGCGGCTCCCACATTCCAGGGCTGGGAGGGGCCGGGCGGAGCCTCCGGAGCGGCCCCGGAACGCCCGGAATGAGCCCAGGGGGGCAAAACAGCCCGGAAAAGTCCCCAAAATCCCAGGAAAATTCCCCAAATCCACTTCCAGAGGGAGCTTTTCCCGCTTTAGGAGCTCTGGAAGGGCCCAGGGGGGGCAAAACAGCCCAGAAAACTCCCCAAATTCCCCAAATCCACTTCCAGAGGGAGCTTTTCCCGCTTTAGGAGCTCTGGAAGAGCCCAGGGGGGTCAAAACAGCCCGGAAAAGTCCCCAAAATCCCAGGAAAATTCCCCAAATCCACTTCCAGCAGGAGTTTTTCCCGCTTTAGGAGCTCTGGAAGAGCCCAGGGGGGTCAAACAGCCTGGAAACATCCCCAAATCCCAGGAAAATTCCCCAAATCCACTTCCAGAGGGAGCTTTTCCCGCTTTAGGAGCTCTGGAAGGGCCCAGGGGGGTCAAAACATCCCAGAAAAGTCCCCAGAACCCCAGGAAAATTCCCCAAATCCACTTCCAGAGGAAGCTTTTCCCACTTTAGGAACTCTGGAAGGGCCCAGGGGGTCAAAACATCCTGGAAAAGTCCCCAAATCCCCAAAAAATCCACTTCCAGAGGGAGGTTTTCCCGCTTTAGGAGCCCTGGAAGAGCCCAGGGGGGTCAAAACATCCCGGAAAACTCCCAAAATCCTAAAAAAATCCACTTCCAGCGGGAGCTTTTCCCGCTTTTGGAGCTCTGGAAGGGCCCAGGGGGGTCAAACAGCCTGGAAAAGTCCCCAAAATCCCAGGAAAATTCCCCAAATCCACTTCCAGAGGGAGCTTTTCCCACTTCTGGAGCTCTGGAAGGGCCCAGGGGGGTCAAAACATCCTGGAAAAGTCCCCAAAATCCCAGGAAAATTCCCCAAATCCACTTCCAGAGGGAGCTTTTCCCACTTTAGGAGCTCTGGAAGAGCCATGGGGGGTCAAAACAGCCCGGAAAAGTCCCCAAAATCCCAGGAAAATTCCCCAAATCCACTTCCAGAGGGAGCTTTTCCCACTTTAGGAGCTCTGGAAGAGCCCAGGGGGGGCAAAACATCCTGGAAAAGTCCCCAAATCCCCCCAAAATCCACTTCCAGAGGGAGATTTTCCCGCTTTAGGAGCTTTGGAAGAGCCCAGGGGGTGCAAAACATCCTGGAAAAGTCCCCAAATCCCCCCAAAATCCACTTCCAGAGGGAACTTTTCCCACTTTAGGAGCTCTGGAAGGGATAAGGGGGGTCAAAACATCCCAGAAAAGTCCCCAAAATCCCAGGAAAATTCCCCAAATCCACTTCCAGAGGGAGCTTTTCCCACTTTAGGAGCTCTGGAAGGGCCCAGGGGGGTCAAAACATCCCAAAAAGTCCCCAGAATCCCAGGAAAATTCCCCAAATCCACTTCCAGAAGGAGCTTTTCCCACTTCTGAAGCTCTGGAAAAGCCCAGGGGGGTCAAAACAGCCCGGAAAAGTCCCCAAAATCCCAGGAAAATTCCCCAAATCCACTTCCAGAGGGAGCTTTTCCCACTTTAGGAGCTCTGGAAGAGCCCGGGGGGGTCAAAACATCCCAAAAAGTCCCCAGAATCCCAGGAAAATTCCCCAAATCCACTTCCAGCGGGAGCTTTTCCCACTTTAGGAGCTCTGGAAGAGCCCAGGGGGGTCAAAACACCCCGGAAAAGTCCCCAAAATCCCAGGAAAATTCCCCAAATCCACTTCCAGAGAGAGCTTTTCCTCTTTAGGAGC